GCGTCGTTAAATATTCTTTAGGAATATACAAAGATAGTATGCCCACCCCTAATAATATTTTTGTTATTAACGCGGAAATGTGGCTGATTTCTCAAAATGTGTCAATATTAAAAAAAAAAAAAAAAAAAAAAAACTCTATTTTTTTTTCAACTCTCCTCGGCACTTCGCAGTGACTTGAACTAACCTGTGATCGCAAAAGATTCAGTAATATGTGACCCCCGAACGAGAAAAGCTACGACAAACCTTCACTCGGAGCGAGCCGACGTCTTCATCATGATAATGTAGTGAGTGCGCAGGCGAGCTGGTGGATGTTAACCATTTTGTTCTTAGCCCGAGACTAAGGCAGGAAAAGAGGAAGAGTCGAGGATACGTCTCTAACACAGCTAAAGCTTTAGCTGTGTTAGAGACGTGTCCTCGACTGCTTTTTTCTTCTACTTTGAAACTTTCCTCTTTTACTGCCTCAGTCTCGGGCTAAGAACAAAATGGTCTATATCATAGCGGATTTGCCGCACAGCACCAAATATTTTGGGCGTTAGTTATGGCATGTAATTTATATTACTAATATTTTTTTCATAAGGGGAGAGTATTGGTGACGCGAAAAAGGGCTTTGAGCTGGAATACCATTAATTAGCTTACAATTCATAGAAACAAAACGGCCCCACTATGCAAATTTACTAACTATGCATTTATAAGCTTCAAACTCTCTATTGCGCGAGTGGCCATGTATACATCTGGCCTCTGGGCATATGATAATTTCCACAGATGAAATGCCTGGAGTCCTCTCACAAGTCTTACGGTGGACCACTCTGCATGCAACATAAATATTATAACGGGGGGGGGGGGGGGGGCATATTATTTTTATATATTCGTAAAAACTATTTAAAGACGCGAAGTTTGATATGTTTTGTGAAGTCTTATGAAAGATGGTTTATTTGCAAACAATTTCTGAATATGTCCCTAAAACGTGTTTTTATGCCATGTTTGATTTTTTTTTTTTTTTTGCATAGAAATATTTTATTGATATTTTTAATTTTTCTGTATATGTTGTATATCTTTTGTAGAACGTATTAAAAAGTTACGGTGGCGTGAAAGCTTCCATGAGGAAATGACGACTGTGCAAAGAAGAATTGTGAAATCTTCTCAATTTCCACGCCTCGAGCTTCTCTACTTTATATCTCAGCGAAAAACAATTGTCCCGGCGTTCACATATAGCTGAATGTGCCTCCCAAGAACATGGCTTTCATTTATATTTTGAACAAAAATATCTCAATTATGACCCGGATCATCATTGCATGAACTGACGTAAAATCACCCTTGATTACATTGCCTTCGTCTAAACTATAAAGCTTCAACACGCAAACATTTGGCAACCATGACATTTTTTCCAATATTGGCGAGCTATCGTAACCGTTCTTAGGCCTATTATTCAATTTTCTCTTATGTTCTTCTCAAGAGAATCTATCGAATCTATCCTATATAGATAAATCGCTGCTCTAGTTCCTGAGTGAAAATATTGACAGCACTTCAAACCACTCTCGAGGCAGAGTTGCGTATAAAGTTACACTTTATTTTAATAAATTTGAAATATAAAGAACAATCATCAAGTAGCCAAATATGTCCGTGTCGAGGCGCTATGTTTTAGGCGGAGACAAAATAAAGTAAAATGTTTTTAATAAAAAAAAAGAAAAGAAAACACGGCGATATGGTGCAGAATGCATCACCTAAAAAAATATATATATATATATATTTTTTTTAAACTTGAACATTGAAGTTGCGAACATTTTTATCTTAGAGCATGTTTCAAGGGCTGTAAATATTTTTCTTTATGAACTTGAAAAATAAGTTGTATACACCTGAACAATATACGTGAACATGTACATTCCGATGCGATATGTTAAAAAAAAACTACAAAATAATAAGTTGCAAATCCGTCCCAGTAAGAATGTCGAGGTACTCACCCGCACGAACACACACACGCACGCACACACGCACACACGCATACACAATACACATGTAACGCAAATGCAATACAGATGTTTGCCGAGTACGTATAAAAACGAAGCAAGGTCTTTCATATAGACAATGAGGCGACATGGAATGGGACTGTCAACCATCCTTTGACAATCTTACTGGGACGGATCAACAAAGTAAAACCAGATTTTCTCAAATCACCAACTGCTGTCAGGGTGATGACCCCCGATTAAGTCTACCCAGATATGCTGGAAATTTGGTGCGGACTGGTGGCAAAAGTGCAAAGCAGGAACGGGGATTAAATGTGGGAGGTTCGAATGGACCTTTTTCGAGTGTTTCGAGTAAGGAGCGAGTGCCTCCTTGGGGGTTATCTGCGAACCACAAATGATGGGCAGCCAAGCATTCATCCACCCGTCAGAACACATTGGCACCGTGCATTTTTATTGGTTTGGATTGCTTTTCATGCTTCACAACACCGATGCATCGGTAGTGCTCCACACTACCGATGCTCAAAAAAAAAGAAGAATCGTCGACAAATACGAAATGCGCGCAGAGATACGGTCGCTGACAGGTTTAGAGCGAAGTGGAAGCTCCTCCCAACTCTTTCCACTTTAGTAGAGCGAGCGCGGGAGCGGAGGTCGCCTCCTCTCCAGCTTTCGCTCCGCTAGAAGTGGAAAGAGGTGGAAGGAGCTGCCCCCGAACTTTTATTGAACTGTCACCGACTAGATACGATTTTCGTTTTCCTTTGTTCTCAATCCCGTGGGTTCCGTATCTGGTATGCGGGACGAAAAAAAATATAAAACATTCTACCCCGGAATATGCGAGAAAATGTAGGTTAGGCAAAACAAGAATGTGTGGCAATCACGCATTTATCGTGAACGCCTTCCAGCGGCGTGTATATATCAAAACGATGCTTTAACCCATATCAGAAGTGACGACATTCAAGATGCCTGCGCCCTTGTTGGAGAGGTGTGCGGGTGCCGACAACTTTGGTCATGTGGGACAATGCCCTTGGAAAATTGTGACAGTTCGAGGCAAAGGTCCGGATGTGGATTGAGGGAGATACGCATGCTCAGAGGCTTACTGCGAAAAAGGCCCGTTGTGAAGAGGTACCGCACTAAAAACAGTAACGTTATGGCTACAGCTTATAAGGCGACGACGTGCCATATAGACCTCTTTCGACAAATACGTGCCGATGATTAGAAGGTTGGAACCATTGCACAATGGCGGAACAACTGACGTCGTGGAACGTCCAAGTCGTTCCATAAAATAGCGGACATCGGAGCGCTGCCAACGCTAGGGGCCGACGATCCAATAAAGCAGCAGCGTTGAAAGTGCAACGTCACTGCGCTCATCATCTTTTTCTGGAGCCAGTGACAAATGCGCCCTTTGCGTGTACACTATTGACACTCACTTCCCACCCCCCCCCCCCCCAAGTCTATTCTACAACGCCTACACACACACACAAACCTTTTTCTGCGGGTGTTTTTTTTTTTTTTTTGTTTACTCAGACGAAATGGATAAAGTGGGCCGTGACATTGCGGCTTTAGTCCGCTATTGTGCAGGGTTTCCACAGCTGCCCACAGAGGGTAGTATTTACAAAGGGTTCTATAAAGTCGAATAAAGAAAATTGTGAAAGGCAGCTGGAAGATGTCCAATGTGGCTCCATGTTTTCGGTATATACCGATTATAAACCCAGCCGGTTTTGCAATAATCGGGGTAAATCCTTGAACAAGAGAAGGCCAAACTTCATAAAAAGAACTTTTAATTGTGTGTTAAATTTTGTACTGAGTTGGAACACAGCCAGCAATGAGGTGTCAGCAAAGGCTTCTTTTGTTCGTGAACCGCACCCCTTGTTTCGTTTTCTTGTCTTATCGGTACCGGATAATTTTATTAATTAGTTTCCCGCTCACGTTTTCTGGGGGGTTAGTATATCACCTGCCAGCGCCATGTTTTTGTTGTTTTTTTCTTGTCAGAGCACGTTTTTACAAAAGCCATTTCTGTTTTTACGCAGAATTGAGCTTACACCGAAACACACACTCTATAAGAAAATAAACCTCATAAGAACATCATCAAATTCAAAGAAAATAAACTCTAAAATAGCGTAAGTACCGCAATTTAAAGCCATTAGATCAACAAAATGTCTTTGATTTTTCTGATCCTCATCGTCGACACCAATAAAAAAGCAATTCTTCCTTCCTTTCATGAAAAAGGCGTGCTTATTGCCGTTTTAAAGACGGCACATACACGCCCACACAAACACACACACACACACACAAACAAGTTGAATACAATTGTAGCACGTTACTAAGAGCTAAGCTCGAGCTTTCCGTGCATATCAAGGTTATTAAAATATTTTAAAGAGGTGCCACGTAAGGACTTGACGTAATCTTACCAAAAGTCTTCAAAAGGAGATAGCTGAGTATTTTTTTAATTATTCTACAATACAGTAATAAGATGTCTTTAGAGAGGGTTAAAAAAGGATTGTAGTGCTTCAGTGCAGAGTCTGACAAGTGACAAAATAGCGAGCGCTCAAACATGCGGTTCCTGACAAGAAAAAAAAATACAAAAAAGTCCACTTTTGCAGCCTCATTCGTTTGAAGAACGGTCCCAAACATCATTTTGGCCAAAATTACATGTTCGACCCCAAACTGTGATTTAATTTAGATAAAAATAGGTATCTGTCGCATACACAAAATCGCCGAAGAGGGGATTACTTGGCCATGTGTCAAGTCTACACTGCTACGCAACACGGAAGATCGCCCGACTATATCGTGTCTCGAAGGATCTCCGTGTGTTCTGCATTGGCAGAAACAATTATTTTACACTTCAATGCGAAATAAGCTAGATAAAATATATGCATTGACTAAGAGGTTGCAGCATAAACACATCTTCAAAAGGAGTGATTGAACAAAACGACATATGCTATGATGGAATATAGAGAACTTTTCGAAAAATCTTACCGACTCACCGGCCCGACCACCTACCCCAACCGCATAGCGCCTACTTTCAGTGAGGTTTGTAAGTTTAAGATCATGCTTCATAGGATCATTTCTATAGGCTGATCGCCGAGTTTCTACCGTAAACTCGGCACACTCTCAACCACGATGATGAGTCGTAGGGTCTCCATCTGAGCGCGAAGCCGGTCAGGTGACTTGGGTTTCCTGCCTGAGTTCCTGCCATTGATGACCGTTCCCACCGGGTTTGGACGCTCGGTGGGAGGGTGGAGATTCATTCTGAGTGGCTGAGAGCACCTTTTTAAAAATAAACAAAAATCAGAATCTGGAGTGTTGTTCTTCTCGCCTATTTTCTAGTTCCTAGTCTAGAGCGTAGACATTGACTCTCCAGAAAAAAGTGGAAACCCTCCGTCGCATGGGTGCTGCCATCTTGGATTCACGTAGCGTTCCCGCGATTAGGTTATGACAACTTGTCACTCCGCTTTCCCCTCCGCTCCTTGGCGGATGCATTACACTTTTAGTGGACCGTGTTTCCCCCTCCGGTAACCCTCCGCTACGAAGAACCCGCCACTGCGCCTGTGCGCCGATGACCTTGGCTGTAGAGTTCCGGGGAGCGGAGGGGGAAACACGGTCTACTAACACTCCCTATTGTGGTCGTATTTGCTGTCGCGGTTCATCGCATTTTTTTTTTATTTCATCCGGAACGTGTCGTTTGACACTTATATTTACTACCAGTTTTGCCATCATTACCTGCAGAGCTTTCGCAGTTCATTTTGCAACGATGATGTGTGTTGTGTACGAGGAGGTTACATGAGGCACAAGAATCAACGTTAGCACTGATGCAGATTGAGTAGGTAGGTTACTCTAAGACAACACGATGGTTCAAACTTTAAAGGTCAGTTACTAATAAAAACTCACGTATGCTTACTAACAAGGGTGGAACATTCGGAATAAGAAGCGCAAGGTATATTTATGATCGTGCATTTAGAATTTGAAGGAAGGCAACAAAACTAGTCAACGTAATGAGTCACTATTTGTGCTCCCTGAAATCATCGTCGTTCGTATTGATGTTGGAATGAAAACAGTAGCTTTTGATTATACGGGTGAACTCGAACGTTTAACTAGCATTTTATCTGATTGCAGGGATACCTGTATACGTCAACATCGGGAGGTTTGTTTGCTCATAATATCAAACCTACCTTTTTTTTGACGTTCTAAATCGAGCGATATAACCGTTCGCTTGATGAGTTTATTAATAAATTTTAAAATATAATATACCTCTCATCAGTCCCATGCATGCAGTCTTTGTAGTGTCATATTGATTTTCTTAAGATAACAGCTGAATTAAATTTATTTTAACACAAAGGTTGGAACGTCCCGCATAGGAATCTGTCAGAATTGACTTGAGAGCAGAGGTCGGCATTTTAGGTAGCCCTCACTCACCCTAACCCTCACAGCCACACTCACCTAAGCCCCTCACTCACCCTCACCCTCACAGCTACACTCACTTTCAGCCCCTCACTCACCCTCACCCTCACAGTCACACTCACCTTCAGCCCTTCACTCACCCTCACTGAACCTCACGGCCCTCACGCACTCACCGCCCTCACGGCCCTCACGCCCCTCACGGCCCTCACCGCTCTCACGGCCCTCACGCCCCTCACTCACTCATGGCCCTCACGAAACTCACCGCCCTCACGGCCCTCACCGCCCTCACCGCCCTCACCGCCCTCACCGCCCTCACCGCTCTCACGACCCCCACGCACTCATAGCCCTCACGCCGCTCACCGCCCTCAAAGCCCTCACGGCCCTCACCGCCCTCACGGCCCTCACGCCACTCACCGCGCTCACGCCACTCACCGCCCTCACGCCACTCACCGCCCTCACGCCACTCACATCTCTCACGCCCCTCACGCACTGATGGCCATCAAGCCACTCAGGCCAGCTTCAGATGGGGCAATTTCGCCCAGAAACTTTACGTCGCAACACCAGCAACGCGGGCCGCCCGTGATCACACGCAGCAACCAATTGCTGCAATTTGCCATCGTCATCATAAAATTTTATTTTTCTTGCACTATTTAGACACAATTACGCGTTATAAACGTGTTTTTATGCATTTAAATCTCGTTAAGAATACTAATGCACCTTTTTGAAACAGTTTATTTCCAAAAAACGATCGATTTCAAACCAGAACCAAGTCTTTCGGTGTTATCATCACCGGCACGAGGTATCACGTGAAAATATTGCGTCCCTGATTGGATGCAGCCGCTTCAAACGTATTCGAATTGCTCCGAGTTGCTTGCTTATTTCGAGCCGGACCCGATCTCAGCAATTCGTGTCGATCTAGGGAAAGCTAGAGAACAACCCGTCATTAACACCAAAATTGCTGAGAAAGATGCTCGATCTGAAGGGGGCCTCACGCACTCACCGCCCTCACGCACTCATGGTTCTCACACACCTCATGCACTCACCGCCTTCACGGCCCTCACGGCCCTCACGCCTCTCATGCCACTCACTGCCCTCACGCACTCACCGCCCTCACACCACTCACACGCTCATGGCCCTCACGCCACTCACCGCCCTCACGCACTCATGGCCCTCATACCCCTCACCGCCCTCACCGCCCTCAGGGCCCTCACGGCCCTCACCGCCCTCACGGCCCTCACCGCCCTCACAGCCCTCACGGCCCTCACCCACCCTCACACTCATGAATTTTCCTGGTTCAGAAACTCACTCACCCTCACCTTACAAGTGAATATGAGGGTGAGTGAGGGTGAGTGAGGGCCCTCATGAGTGAGGTTTGCCGAGGTATGCTTGAGAGTGCCTGATGTTCTTAACATACCACGTCCAAAAAATCCTTCTGCAAGAAAATCACCCGAGTGCAGCGTTACCTATGGCGAAGAGAGGTTTGGTTTCAGTGACTGGCGACGACAATACGAAGAGTATCTGTTCAAACAGATACAAATCTGTCTACATAAGTCTTTAAAGTGGCCTTCGGCGTTCGAGCTCAGCGAAACTTGCCGATCTTTTCTCTTGAGCCCTTCAGTTTTATTTGACTTCTATAGAACATGAGTGTCAGACTTAATTTTACTGGTCTGTCAGTAATCAGGCACCTTGAGTACGACGTAAGTAAGCAAGTGGCCATATCACAAACCGTTTTTTTTTGTTTTTTTTCTGAGGTCAATATTGGGATATGTTTTTACTTATTACATTAGCAATGCCGGTAGTTAAAAACAAATTAATACATTGCACTAGTACTGCTTAGGCATTCGATTTGGGCTCGTTACAATCAATGCTTCGACATGCATTTGTGTAGTGGCGCGTACCTTATCGCCCATACGACGGGAGTAGCGCGCCCCGTGCTCTGCCAACCCCAGCTACGTTAAAAAAAATTGGCAGCATATAATCGGCTTCAGATCACGTGGCCAGTTTTTTGGATGCAAGCTGAGGGATTAAACGGTGTTCATTTTTCTCGGAGTTCTTCTGCGACTACCACTTCGTGGAGAAAAAAAACAAAAAAACAACGTGTGTCTCTTATGTTAGAACCTTTCCGGAAGTCAGTCTACCCACCCTGGGCAGACCTAAGCCCGACGCTCTAATGGCAGAACTGCGCAGTTCCTCCACTCCAAAAAAGTCGAACGTTCGAAAGTTCGAAAGCATTGTGCCATAGCCTCCGCTATACTCACAAAGCCTGGCAGTTCGATGACGGAGCCACAGTCTTAGAAAAAAGGATCAGTATAGTCCTCCCTAAAGGGAGGAACGATTTTGAAACACATGTTCCTTCAGAAAGAGAGAAACTTTAGTCCCTGAAAGAAGGGTAGCAAAGTTCCTCCGTCGCCTGCATCTCATTATGGCGGCCACGAATCGACCAAATCGAGCTCAGTAAGGCTTAACGAGAACACTAAGTCTATTGCACGGGGCGAAAGGAGCAGCAAATAAAAACGTAACACGAGCTTTCCGCGAAATGTATTTGTTTCGAAAGCCGGCTTCTCCCTGCAGGAAAAGAACCTTACGTTTTGAAAGCACGCAGTCACTCAGTCTTCTCATCGGCAGCGTTGCGATGTTAAACGGAGACAACCGGCACCCAGTTATTTCGTGCACTTTGTCGTACCTTTGCTATTCCTCAAACCACAATTCCTTCGTCAACCGCACATCGCGGAGGAGTGATGAACCATTCGCCCGCAAAACCAAAAGCTGCTCCAAAAAAACAGCCAATCCGAAGCAGCCTCTTGGCTGATTTCAGCACGGTAACAAGGAATTATGGCGTAGGCCGCGTAGCGTAAAAAAAGGTTAAATCGCTTGCCACCAGCAGAGTAATTGGAAGTAGCTAGGCTAGGTGGCGCTAGGTACCGTCCAATTCATGTTCTACAAAAAATATATTTATTTTCTCATGCAACCATTGCGCTTTTGGGGTCATCGGGAACCTCTATTATACACACGTGTAGACACATTACGCATACTACAGGCATCAGCTGAACATACATTGAGCGCATACAAATACATGGCACATACAAGCATCAATACAACGGTGCACTGACCCGATCACTACACCCAAGCTGTGCATTTCCGTCTTTTATACTGGTCGATTTGAAAGTACGGAATTTCTCGGTGAGTGCCTAAGCAATAAAAAATATTCCCAGCATGTTGATTTTTTTTTCCAGCAATATCATACCTCTGAGTATGTTTAATGGCGCAGGGGATGAATCTCTTAATAAAAGAAACCGCTCGATCATGCCTTAATTATTGGAAAGCCAATAAATCGAGCTGCTCCCATGCGGTTCTAAGCCATGAGTTTGTTTCCCCGCAGAGCACTTTGTAGCCAGTATTTCTATTGTTGTGTTTGTTTTTCTATTTGTGCTGTTCGCGTACGGCTGCAATGGCCGTCTTGAATTAATCTCTGTAGAGCGGATATTCACTCAGCTGAAAGGGATGCTTCACGGAAAGAGAAATCGCTTTTCTATCAACCTTAATGCAGCCAAAGCCGCGACTTGCGGCAGGTGTTAAGTGTACAGAGCCACACCGTGGCGAGCTCGAAAACGTCTAGCGCTCATCCAAGCGCGCCACTTGGAGGGCAAGTTTCTCCAGGAACCGTAGTATATAAAAACAGCAAAATAAAGAACAGTTTTTTTTATTTGTTTATTTTACCTCCTATTATTTTTTAATGCTAAAATTCCACTGTAAGTATTGTACTTTCCGTCATAATTTCGTACTGTTTAGTCCTTTTCCCACAGCGGAATCACTCTCGGGGGCCGACAGCCACATTGGCCACTGTACGATAGGAGCTTACC